CCAGCCGCGAAAAACAAGCTCCCCAATAACAAATTTCATGTGGAAAATTGCCATTTTGGGAGCTCGGGTACATTTCCTTCCCCCCCATCCCCGAGAGCTGTTTTGCGCTGGGAGAAGGTTCCAGATGGATTTTCACACTGGGACGGTCCGGGGTGAAAATCCATCTGGGGCCTCCTGATGTGAGCGGGAGGGCCCAGCCGCGAAAAACAAGCTCCCCAATAACACATTTCATGTGGAAAATTGCCATTTTGAGGGCTCGGGTACATTTCCTTCCCCCCCATCCCCGAGAGAGCTGTTTTGCGCTGGGAGAGGGTTCCAGATGGATTTTCACACTGGAACGGTTCCGGGGTGAAATCCATCTGGGACCTCCCGACGCTGAGAGGGAGGGCCCAGCCGCGGAAAACAAGCTCCCCAATAAGAGATTTCATGGGAAAATTGCCATTTTGGGGGCTCGGGTACCCCCCATCCCCGAGAGAGCGCTGGGAGGGGGGGTCCAGATGGACTTTCACCCTGGAACGGTTCCGGGGTGAAAATCCATCTGAGACCTCCCGACGCTGAGCGGGAGGGCCCAGCCGCGAAAAACAAGCTCCCCAATAAGAGATTTCATGTGGAAAATGCTCATTCTAGAAGCTCGGGTACACTTCCTTCCCCCCCATCCCCGAGAGAGCCGTTTTGCGCTGGGAGAGGGTTCCAGATGGATTTTCACCCCAGAACCGTTCTGGGGTGAAAATCCATCTGGGACCTCCCGACGCTGAGCGGGAGGGCCCAGCCGCGAAAAACAATTTTTGGTTGGCGGGTCGGGAGCGGGCCCCTTCCAGCTAAGAGCTAGGCGGGACGCGCGAAGCACTAATTGGGGAGACAGGGCGATGCCGCGAAAAACAACTTCCCAATAAGAACAACCATTTGGAAATTTGCCATTTTGCGGGTTCGGGTACACTCCCATCCCCGACAGCGTTGTTTTGCGCTGGGAGAGGGTTCCAGATGGATTTTCACCCTGGAACGGTTCCGGAGTGAAAACTCATTCGGGACCTCCCGACGCTGAGCGGGAGGGCTCAGCCGCGAAAAACAAATTCACCAATCATAAATTTCATTTGGAAAATTGCCATTTTGGGGCTCGGGTACACTCCCCCATCCCCGACAGCGCCGTTTTGCGCTGGGAGAGGGTTCCAGATGGATTTTCACACTGGGACGGTTCCAGGGTGAAAACCCATCTGGGACCTCCCGACGCTGAGCGGGAGGGCTCAACCGCGAAAAACAAGCTCCCCAATACCAAATTTCATGTGGTGCCATTTTGGGAGCTCGGGTATATTTTCTTTCTCTCCATCCCCGACAGCGTCGTTTTGCGCTTGGAGAGGGTTCCAGATGGATTTTAACACTGGAACGGTTCCGGGGTGAGAAACCATTTTGGACCTCCCGACGCTGAGCGTGAGGGCCCAGCAGCGAAAAACAAACTCACTAATCAGAAATTTCATCGGGAAAATTGCCATTTTGGGGGCTCGGGCGCACTTCCCCCATCCCCGACAGCGCCGTTTTGCGTTGGGAGAGGGTTCCAGATGGATTTTCACCCTGGAACGGTTCCAGGGTGAAAATCCATTTGGGACCTCCCGACGCTGAGCGGGAGGGCCCAGCCGTGAAAAACAAGCTCCCCAGTATGAAATTCCATTTGGAAAATTGCCATTTTGGGGGTTCAGGTACACTTCCTTTCCCCCCATCCCCGAGAGAGCCGTTTTGCGGTGGGGGGTGGCCCAAATGGAATTTCACCCTGGAACGGTTCCAGGGTGAAAATCCCTTTGGGACCTCCCGACGCTGAGCGGGAGGGCCCAGCCGCGAAAAACATCCCCAAATCAATTCGGAAAATGGCCATTTTGCGGGCGCGGGTACCCCCCCCCATCCCCGAGAGAGTTGTTATGCGCTGGGAGAGGTTCCAGATGAACTTTCACACTGGAACTGTTCCGGGGTGAAAATCCATCTGGGACCTCCTGACGCTGAGCGGGAGAGCCCAGCCGCGAAAAACAAATTCACCAATAAGAAATGTCATTGGGACAATTGCCATTTTGGGGGCTCGGGCGCACTTCCCCCATCCCCGACAGCGCCGTTTTGCGTTGGGAGAGGGTTCCAGATGGATTTTCACATTGGAACGGTTCCGGGGTGAAAATCGATTTGGGACCTCCCGACGCTGAGCGGGAGGACCCAGCCGTGAAAAACAAGCTCCCCAGTATGAAATTCCATTTGGAAAATTGCCATTTTGGGGGTTCAGGTGCGCTTCCTTGCCCCCCATCCCCGAGAGGCACCCACAAGGCTCCTGAGAGCGCCCAGATGGAAAATCACCTTTTTCAGATTTCAATTTTCACCCTGGAACCGTTCCAGGGTGATTCTGGAACCTGAAACGGGTCGATGCCAGGGGGGTGGAGACCTGGCAGACTCGCTGCAACTTCGGTGTAATGGTGGTCGCACCCCCCGCGGTGATTTTGCTTGCTGTTCACCCTAGCGCTAGGCTGCTGCAGTATGTTCTACAATTTGGTGCTGTCGAGGCCTTGTGACATTGCCTGCCGCTTTCTTGCTCTCTCTCGTTGCCAAATGCGGACCAGGCAGCCAGCGACATTATTGCACTAACCTTTCAGAAGTATTAGCATCACGTGTTCCTCAACGCGCTGGTGCCCATAGTAATATGAGGCACGCCTGCCTTCGGGCCAATACTACTGCCTGCCAGCTACCCGCCAATATGCCCCCTTCTCCCGTTCAAGAGTTCTCCCCCTCCCTGCACAGCGAATGCGGGCAAGGCGGTTGCCTCCGGGGGCGTCTGGCCCCTGCTCCGTGCTCATTGTCGCCACGTGGCACAGCCTCCCCCTTCGGGCCCAGATTTTCTGCGACTTGCAGCCGTTTGCTACAACTGAGCAGCTATCACTGGCGTTTGACCTTGTAGAGGATATCCCAGCGCTTTTACACATGGCAGCACCAACGCTGAGGTGCTATTCGACAGCATAGCTCGCAGCGTACAACAAATTGTCTCGAAGGCGAGAACGTGCGGTAATTCACGAGGGATCGTAGCCTCGAAGGCGAGATTGCGGTGTAATTTACGAGGGTTTATAGCCCCGGGGACGCGAATATGGTATAATTTTCGAAGGTGTATAGCTTTTTGGGCGCGACTTTTGTATAATTTGCAAGGGCTTACGGCTTTCGGGACGCGAATATTGTGTAATATATTTGGGTTTATGGTTTCGAAGACGCAGCTATTGCGTTCTTTACGAGATTGTATGGCTTCGGGGATGCGAGTATTTTGTATTTTACAATGGTTTTTGGCCTTGGGGACGAAATGGTATAATTTACGAGGTTGTATAACCTCGGGGTCGCGAGCATTGCGTCATTTACGAGGGCTTGTGGCTTTGGATGCGCGTGCATCGTATAATTTAGGGTTCATGGCCTCGGGGACGCGACTATTGTGTGATGTACATGGGTTTATGGTGTCGGGGACGCGACTATTGTTTAATTTGCAAAGGCTTATGGCTTCGGGGGCGCATATATTGGGTAATTTGCGAGGGTCTATGGCCTCGAGGACGCGAAGATGGTGTAATTTACAAGGGTTTATGGCTTCAGGGGTGCGAATCTCGTGTATTTTTATGTGTCCCACGGCCCCCCGGGAAGTCTGCGAACCCCGCGTGGCAATTGGTGCTTCTCGGCTCCCCCCCTCGCGCGTTCGTTCAGTAACAATGAACAGTTACCAGCAGGACGCAGAAAGCAGAGCCATCACATTGGAAACTTGCAACTGCAACTGGTGCAGGGAGCAGCAAACCTTCGCCCTACAGCCTGGTGGCTCCACAAGGGGGCCAGCGGATGTTGAATATAGATGTTTGTTGCAAGGTGGGGGGCCCAGCGCTGAGCAGATAGGAAACGGATCCAAGCCAGGTCGTAGACGGTGGCCATCATCGCGGTGACGACGCCCGAAACGTCTCTCCATCGGTGTCCGGAGGGCTTCGCATCAAGGCGAGCACTCGGACGAATCCACGTGATTTTGGCAAACTGGATGTCCACGTCAGGAGAGTGGATCACCTGCACCCAGCTCTCCACAGGCTGCTGCACCGAGTGCACCTCGGGGTCCTCGGAGTCCACCTTCAAATAGAGCAGGGTGGTGAGGCAGCGCCTGGGCCAGCGCTTCGCGACCGTCCAGGCCATCGCTCTCCTCCACCTCGTGATGACTCTGGGAGCCATGCCGAAGACCTCGCCCGAGTAGTCGCTCGTGGCCATGGTGCCCCTGGCTGCGATCCGTGCGGCAATACGCCGTCCAGCCACCATGGGCGAACTTCTGAAGGTGTCCAGAGCGACGCTTGGCCCTAGCCCATCGCGCTGTGTTCTTGGGTCTCCGAACCCGTGTCCGTCCTCAGTCGAGCTCCAAGCCAGTCGCAACTGTTTGAAACTTGACCTGGAAGCAGTCGCGACAAAGCGGGCCTGCAAGGCTTTGGTCACGCAAATCCGAGGAGATGATCGCAGAGTTTCCAGACATGACTAGTCCAGCCTGCTGGCAGCCTCTGGTGCCTGATGAAGTCGACTCCCGCTCAGGACAGAACGTGCGGGCACCTGTTGGCGCGGCCCTCGACCCGCTGGGAGACGGCATCCACCCACGACCGAGCCAGGACTCCTAGGCTGCCGCGTGCGGTGACCTCCAGGATATCGTAGAGGACGCACTTGGAAAAGTCCACTGCGCATCCGTGGCCCGCAGGAGGAGGTGGAGGAGGGTATGAGCATAACGAGAGAGGGGGGATGGCGCAGGAGAGGGGATTCTGATGTTACCATGATGGTGGTAATGATGACGATGGTCGTGGGGGTGATGATGATGGGGGGACGGAGAAGGAGAGCGCGATAGGACGAGGATGGAGTGGGAGGACGTCAGGTTTCAGACTCCACCCCTGCTTAGCATGGCACAGGGGCCTTGAAGGGCAGGAGGGACGACGCACCGAGCTTACTCGAAGTAGCCCTTCAGCACCTTGGCGGCCAAGGCGGGCCACCACGATATTGTCCTCCGAGGGCCTCCGAGGTGCTCAGAGGCCTTCCAGGCTTCCCGCTCCGCGCATCGCCTCCAGGTCAACGCCCTGACCAAGCAGATCGAGACCAAGACGCAGAGAAGCGGGGAACTGGCGGTGGCAAACGCTCAGATGGCGAACGACATCGAGGACGGCTGCCGGTACCGGAGCGAGCGGGATCCAGGAACGACAACACGAGTCCGTCCCCGCCTCCATCTGCCTTCCCTCTCCCTGCCTTCTCCCCTCTAATCCCTCCTTTCCCTTCAATCCAGTCCCTTCCCTCCCTTCATGCCCGCTGCGCGAGCGCGGAGCCCACTGCATTTTACGTGGACTCGTGGCGGCGTTAGCGCGGACTTTTTTTGTGTGTGAGGGATCGTGGTTGCGAAAGCGCGGATCCGCCCTTCCCGTCCCGTCCCCGCCCTCTCCCCTTCTCTGTTCTCTGTGTCCCGTCCCTCTCCTACCATACTATCCTCCCTTTCTTTCCTTCTCCCTTCCCCCCCCTGCCCCTCCTGCTCAACCTTTCCGCTGCCCTCGCTGGATTGAGACCGAGGGGGAGCGTGACGGGCGGTTGGGGCCGATCAGAACGCAGTGGTCCAGGATGTGGAGCAGGTGGGATGCGCACGGGGAAGGAAGAAGGCGGATGGGACTTTCGAGTGGAGATGGGCACTGCAATTGCGTGCCGCTGAAGCTAGCTCTGGGCCTGACTGGAGTTCTGGCCCCGAGTGCCAGGATGACGCTCGGGTGCGACGCGGGTCACACTGCCTCGGCACTCCTGCGACCCAAGACGGAACTGTGCTGCCGGGCGACGAAATATATATATATATATATATATATATACAAGTGGCACGTGTGCCATGGCTCTTGCGCAAAAAGGGAAAGGGGAGGAGGAGGAGGAGGTGGAGGACGAGGGGGGAAGAGGGGGCAAGACATCGCCCCTCGGGGCTCAGCAACGGGGCCCAAATCCCAGGTGGGGATGGGGGGAGGCGGCGCGCGTCGCGACGCGGAATATAGTGCTCGGAGCGGAGGGGGCACGGGGCGGAGGTCCCACTGGGGCGCTGGGGGCGCGGAGAGGAGGTGGGGAGGTGGCGTGCGTCGCGACGCGGAATAAAATTGCCGGGGCGGAGGAGGCACGGGGCGAAACGCCCACTTGGGCGCTGGGGACGCGGGGAGGGAGGTGGTGGGGGAGGTGGTGTGCGTCGCGACGCGGAATAAAGCGTTCGTGGCGGAGGGGCAGTGGGCGGTGCTCCCGCTGGGGCGCTGAGGACGCGGGGGGGCTCGGGGCAGAGAGCTACGGCGCGGGGGTCCCACTCCGGCGCTGGGGGCGCGGGGGGGGGGCGGCGACGCGGAATGAAGCGTTCGTGGCGGAGGTGGCAGTGGGCGGGGCCCCCTCTGGGGCGCTGGGGACGCGGGGGGGCTCGGGTCAGAGAGCCACGGCGCGGGGGTCCCACTCTGGTGCTGGGGACGCGGTGTGTGTGTGTGTGTGTGTGTGTGTGTGTGCGTGCGACGCGGAATAAAGTAGTCGGAGCTCTAGACACCCTGTGCAAGAGAATGCTCGGGGCGGCTCCTCCTCCCTCTCCTCCTCTTCCTCTTTCCTGCGGAGGGGGCTGTGGGCGGGGCTCCGACGGGGGCGCTGGGGCCGCAGCAGGGAAAGGGGGGGGTGCGTCGCGACACGGAATGAAGCTGTCGTGGCGGAGGGGGCACCGGGCTGGGCTCCTACTGAAGCGCTGGGGATCTGGGAAGAGGGGGGGGGGGAGGTGGTGTGCGTCGCGGCGCGGAATACAAGTTGTTGGGGCGGAGGGGGCACTGGGCGGGGCTCGGGGCAGAGGGCCACGGGGCGGGGATCCCATTGGGGCGCTGGGGACGCGAGGGGGGGAGGGGGGAGGTGGTGTGCGTCGCGACGCGGTATAAAAAGCTCGGGGCGGAGGGCGACGGGGCGGGGGTCCCACTGGGGCACTGGGGATGCAGAGGAGGTGGGGGGGGGGGCGTCGGGGCAGATGGTGTGCGTCGCGACGCGGAATAAAATGGTCGTGGCGGAGGGGGTGATGTGCGTCGCGACGCGGAATAAAGTGGTCGGGGCGCGACGCGGAATAAAGTGGTCGTGGCGGAGGGGGTGGTGTGCGTCGCGACGCGGAATGCAGTGGTCGGGGCGGAGGGGGTTCGGGGCGGGGGTGCCACTGGGGCGCTGGGGATGCGAGGGGGGGGAGGGGGGGCAGGTGGTGTGCGTCGCGACGCGGAATAAAATGGTCGGGGCGGAGGGGGCTGTGGGCGGGGCTCCGACGGGGGCGCTGAGCATGCAGCAGGGGAAGGGGTGGGGGTGCGTAGTGAAACGGGATGAAGTTGTCGTGGCGGAGGGGGCACGGGGCTGGGCTCCTATTGAAGCGCTGGGGACCTGGGGGGAGGGTGGGACGTGGTGTGCGTCGCGGCGCGGAATAAAAGTTGTTGGGGCGGAGGGGGCACTGGGCGGGGCTCGGGGCAGAGGGCCACGGAGCGGGGGTTCTACTGGGGCGCTGGGGACGCGAGGGGGGGGAGGGGGGGAGGTGGTGTGCGTCGCGACGCGGAATAAATAGCTCGGGGCGGAGGGCGACGGGGCGGGGGTCCCACTGGGGCGCTGGGGATGCAAGGGGGGTCGGGGGGGAGGTGGTGTGCGTGGGAGCAGGTGGTGTGCGTCGCGACGCGGGAATGAAGTGGTCGTGGCAGAGGGGGTGGTGTGCGTCGCGATGCAGAATAAAGTGGTCGGGGCGGAGGGGGCTCGGGGCGGGGATCCCTCTGGGGGCTCGGGGCGGGGATCCCTCTAACGTGAATCCGGAATCCGGAGTTTGGAATCCGGAATCCGGAATCTGGAATCCAGAATCCGGGAATCGGGAATCCTTGTATTCGGGAATCCGGAATCTGGGAATCCGGAATCCGGAATTCGGAATTTGGAATCCGGAACCCGGAATCCGGGAATCGGGATTCCTGGTATTTGGGAATCCGGCATCTGGGAATCCGGCATCTGGGAATCCGGAATTCGGAATCCGGAATCCGGAATCCAGAATCCAGAATCCAGAATCCAAAATCCGGAATCCGGAATCCGGAATCCGGAATCCGGACTCGTGGACTCTTGGAATCCTGGAATTTGGAATCCGGAATCCGGAATCCGGACTAGCATTTGCAACTGAATCTGGAATTTGGAAGCCAGAATCCGGGGATAGGAGCGGGGATAGGAGCTGGGGGAATCGATTCTCGCCAATTCGGATCTCGGAATCAGAACACCGGGGTCCGCAATTCGGAATCTTTCATCTGGGACGCGGAATCTGGCGACCCACAACGCGGGAGGCAGAAATTGGGAATTCGGATTTGAAATTTGGATTCCAGAGTTTGGGTGTCAAGGGTAGGTTGTTAGGGTGTTCGGGTGAATAGGGTGTTCGGGTTAAGAGTGTTGTGGTAGGGTTAGAGAGGTAAGGTTAGTGTTACGCCTTTAGGGTTAGGGTGTTAGGGAATGAGTGTTCAGGTTCGTGTCTTACGGTTCGGGTGTGCGGGTTAGGCTTGGGGCGTTAGGGTCCGTGTATTAGGGTATGGCTAGGGTTCGGTGGTTCGGTTAGGTGGCTAGGGTTAAGGTTAGGGTGTTCCGTTTGGGGTTCGGGTGTTCGGGTTGGTGTCTTACGCAGGGTTAGGGTTAGGGCTAGGGTGTAAGGGTTAGGGTGTAAAGGGTTAGGGTGTTAGGGTAAAGGGTATGCCGGGTTAGGGTGTTGGTGTAACGTGTTAGGGTTAGGGTGTTAGAGTCATGTTGTTTTTGTTTTGGGTGTTGGTGTTCGGTTTTACGGCTAGGGCTAGGGTTAGTGTTAGTGCGTTAGGGTTAGGGTTGGGGGGTTCGGATTAGGTCAGGATTAGGGTGTTCGGGTTTGGTTAGGGCGTTAGGGTCAGTGAGTTTGGGTTCCGCCGAGGGTTTGGGGGTCAGGCTTAGTGTGCTTGTTAGGGTTAGGGTGTCAGGGGTGGGGTGTTGGGGCTTGCAGGTGAGAATTAGGATTTGTATGTAAAGTTTGTTTGGGTCAGGGTGTGAGAGTTAGGATGATAAGGGTTACGGTGTTAGGGTTTAGGTGTTAGTGTCAGGATTAGGGTGTCAGGTTACGGCGTTCGGGATAGGGTTAGGGTTTGAGGGTTTGGGTTGGGGGTGGTGGTGTGAGAGTGTTAGGGCTAGGGGTTCGGGGCAAGGCTTAGGAGGTCAGGTTCTTCGGGTAAGGTGTTAGCGTTAGGGTGTGAGGGTTAGGGTGTCGGGGCTAGTGTGTGCGGACTAGGGTGGTGGGGCCCGTGTGTTAGTGTTCAGCTGTTAGTGTCGGGGTGAGGGTTCTAGGGTCAAGGTTGTATGGGTTCATGTGGCTGGGTTACGCCTTTGGGTTAGAGTGTTAGGGCCAGGGTGCTTGAGTTAGCATGCTAGGGTTAGTGTTGAGCGTTAGGGTTCGGTTGATCGGGTCAGGATGCAAGGGTTGGGAATTTAGGGTTGCGGGGGTTAGGGTGTTAAGGGTCAGGGTTTGGGCGTGAGGGTGTTGTGGTTCAGGGCGAGGATTACAGTGTCAGGGCCAGGGTGTCTGGATTAAGGTGTTAGGGTCAGGGTGTGCGCGTCTGGGCGTTCGGATTAGGGTGTTGGGGTCAGGGTGTTAGGGTCCCGGTGACAGGACTAAAGACTTCTGCTTTATCTTGTTACGGTTAGGGTGTTAGGATTCGCCAGTTTGTGTTATAAGGTGTTCGGGTTCGGCTGTTGGGGTTGGGGAGGCGGGGGTTCGGTTTATGGTCTTAGGGGTTTGGGTGGGGTGCTCGTCCATGTCCCGTCCGATGCGATTCCAAGAGCCCGGACTCCAGAATGCGGATGCGGGATGGGGAATCTGGAATCTGGAATCCAGAATCCAGAACTTGCAATTTGGAACCCGCAATCCTGAATCTGGAATCCAGACTCGTGGGCGTCGGGGAGAAATGCTAAACGCTTCGCCGACGAAGCGTTCGGCATTTCCCGAGGGTTTTTTGCGTGGTCTCTGGGGCCTTATAGGGATATCTTGGGGGCGCTTGAGGCTCTTTTGGGTTCTCTTTGCGGCGCCTGGGGGGCTTCTGGGGGGCCTCTGAGGTAATGTCGGAGCGGGAAGCTTGACATTTGGGATTGTAATGAGAACGCCGGCGGC